TAGATGATGTTACTGGCCATGAGGTGTTTATCACCTGACACAGAGTATTGGGCAGATAGAAGAGAGCATGAGTCCATTTGGTTGAGTGGTGAGCTATACCACTTAAAACTGCAAGTGAGTCTTGCAGGACTAGTCTCCTTCTCCTTTCAGATTTCCTTATAAAACCTCCCTCTTGACTTCTTTACTTTCCTTGTCCTCTCAGCTCCCTTATGAAGAAAGGCATATAAGATTGATTCTGAGATTCCCTAGTTTGTGAGAGAGATCAAAGAATATGCCTACCCAAACATGTATGCTAAGGAATTTAAGGGAGGGAAAGGATTCAAACTGTTAGGATTTTATTCAATATAGGTGTCCAGAATTCTACCTGGTCCTGAAATGGAGAGAAAGCTCAAAGTCAACTGATCACTGGATAAAGAGAAACTAATGAAACTGTGTGGTTGGGCACTTTGGATCAATTCATTATACTTTGTTGTTACGTCTACATCTGAATATGTAGGAGAAACTGTTGTAAGTATTCTTGGAAAGTCTCATTATATAAGTACCAAATGAAATTCTGATTAGAAACAACTATTTTCATAAAACAATTGTATGTTTGAGGTTGTACAATCCTGACAACCCTTTTATAAAATGTTTTTTAAATTAATTAATTAATTAATTTTTAAAATTACACTCATGATATTCATTAATTATACTCATGATATTAATCACATTTGTGGTATTCATAGATTACATTTGCAGTATTCATTCAAATATATATATATATATATATATATATATCACACACACATATACACATATATATATATTTAAATTTTAAATGCCTAATGTCATTTCTTGAAGGGGGGAGGAGGTCTTAAATACAGGCTTACAGCACAATGGGAGGACCCCGGAAGGCAGAAGTTCGCTACTGATGTTTTACAATCTTGCATTTAAGCTGTTAATGTCCATTATTCAGGATACACAGACAAGGAACTTCCCTTAAGCATTCAGGAGGGTGGAACCTGGCAGGGAATTAGCATAGGGAGGATATCAAGGTCAAGGTCCACAAGCAAAGCAACAGTTACCCAAAATGGGGGCCAGGGCTCTACAGGTCCCCCTTTTATTAAAAAATGAGCTTCTGACTTGGGTTGTGTGGGACGTCAGCAGGTCACCTTACCTGTCATGGAGATGCCTGCCCAGGCCACACAGATGCTCTGTCTTAGGTTGGTGAGCGCCACCCCCCATGCATTACCTGTCTCTGAATACTCATTATCATACAGGCTCAATCATGTGTGAGCTGCATAGTTAATTGCTGCCAAAGATCTCAAAGTGACACAGGGCTTGCAATCTGTGTGTTCAATACAGAAAAGACCAACAGAGGTCCTATCTCACCCATAGCCAGTAGGCTAAAGGCAACTGAGCCATTCCCTTTCTTAACGAGCCATACTGTACGTTGGAGTCCTTGTAAGATAGTATCCCAAAAGCAACTGGAACTTGAGTTTATAAATTTATAATTTTCAAAGCCAATTGAGATGTATATAAGTACTGAATTACATTTATCATGGCCAATAGAATAAAAGATTAACTAACTGTGATAGCTACTTTTGTTGCCAGGGTCTCCACTGTGCTGGCTGTAGTAAGCAATCATGAAATGGTAATCCCAGAAACAGTAGCAGCGGTGTGCGCCATTGCTATAACAGCAACAGCAGCAGCAGCAATGTCCTGACAACCCTTTAAAGCACAAGTGATTCCTGACTTCCTCCCCTGGAGCCTCTGGAAAAGGGAAGCCATGTTCACTTGTAGGCAGCCATGAGGTTATAGATGTATGACTTTCCTTGTATTGATATAGGTACATCTCTTTGACAAGATCCTACTAATTTGTTACTAGGCTCTGCAAAACTGAATGTCTCATCTGGATAGACTCTCATCTATATAGAGTTATCATGCTATTTCTATTTTGTGGTGGAATAATTCAGTTACAACTAATAAGATATGAAGGGGCATAAATATCTCACTTGTCAAATGAAATGATTTATCAAAAATTGCAGACAGTGTGATCTGAGTAATATGTTATCTGTGTATGAAGTAGTCATGGTGCTTTATATGGCCTGTGAATTGAAACATTCATCCTTGAGGGAAGAGTTATGCCCCCAAGCTAATAAAATATACATGGTTAAGGGATCCCAGAGAGGTACAAAACCCACAAGTTCCCTCCCCAAGGTTACATAAGCAGTAGACAATTGCTGGAGAAAGGAAGACTGTTGAGTAGTGCTACCTGAAAATTGGACCGGGAAAAACCTGCCACTGATGCTATCATAAGTCATGTCAATAAACCCATTGGTTCACAGAGATGGACTTGGGTGGAATGACTTGTTTGGCCTATTGTCAATGCCCTATCTGAGGTGAATAGACTTTTGCTTTTATTACCAAGAGTTATTATAGCATGTAACTGAAAGTTTTCCTGTGCCCTGCTTGGTCTGCAGCAGCTCAGACCCAAATAAACACACAGAGGCTTATATTAATTATGAATTGTATGGCCTAATGGCTCAGGCTTCATGCTAGCTGGCTCTTACATCTTAAATTAACCCATTTTTATAAATCTATATTTTGCCACGTGGCTTGTGGCTTACCAGTACCTTTACATCTTGCTTCTCCTGGTGGCAGCTAACAGGGTCTTCTCTGCTGTCTTTCTCCTTCATCTCTCTCTAGTTAAAAATGTCCTGCCTGACTTTATTCTGCTTCACCATTGGCCAAACAGCTTTATTTATCAACCAATCAGAGCAACACATATTTACAGCATACAGAACAATATCACCCATCAATAGCATTTCTCTGGAGGCTGAGAACCCTTTAGTCACAGAGATTTTCCTGTGTTTCTTAGGATGGTTCAAACAGTCTGACTTATAAATCTTAGCTTTGCTGTTCATCTCCAGTACCAGCTGAAAGTAGAAATGTGCGTGGTTACTTTACACCATGGACAAGACTCTAGGCAATTCTCATGCCTCTGGTCAATGCTCCTCTTGACAAAACTTGTTATATTTCTATCAGCTATTAGGCAAGATAAATATTCTAGATGCTGATCAGCCACAGAGAAAATTATGACAGGCAAGTTAAACAAATACTCTTTGAGTTTAAGAAACCATGGGATTGAATTGTAGCTGTGGCTCTAATTGTTTGGGTCACTCATGTAGGTATCCATGGTGAGGGTTCATTGTCTGGTTAAAAAAAATACTAGAATTAAGCTACTGATAAAGCTTATTCTGCCTATATAGTTATCATTTTTTCCTATGTCTGTCATTGTCATGGTAACACATTCACCCATCTAGATTAGGTGTGAATTAAAGGACTCTGTATTTATAACATAGATACTACTTTTGCATAAAAGATCTGTAATGCCTGCTCCAAATTAGCTCATTTATCTTGTAACGATGGATACTACATTATATGGAATGGGAGCCCTCAGCAGCTTGCAGGATGACTATACTTAGGAGGTGATCTTGATTCCCTGCTGTGGACACTCTCTTTTACTCTGATTATGAAACAAATATTTTTGTCTGATTATCTGACTATGGACATACCATTGAAAATAATTGTGTTATACCCCTGAGGCCATTTGCAGCCTGACAGTGATGTTTATTTCATCACACACTCTATCCATAATGAACTTATTATCTGGGTATTTGATGGAGTTTATGGACCTTCTGCCATCTGCAGAGACTCTTAAGTATTCAACCATCTCTTCAGAAACTGTCTTAAAACTATTTATATCAGTACCATTCTCACCTTCTTCTGTCCTATACACTTTAGTGAGGTAGTTACTAATGTATGTAGGCCCAGGAAAGGTAGGTGCATACTACCCTTGTTACTGTTAGATAAAAATAAAAGTTGGATTTATTACAGTTCTCTGAATAACAATGGCAAAACTCAGTTGTTTTACTGGGACTGGGAACCTTAAAGTTATGAGCTGTCCAGGAGATCATACTGAAGAAAACTTTCAAATTTTGTCTTCTAGCAAGTGTAGGTACTTCTTGGAATCCCTTGTGATGTAAATGTCACAATCTTTCCAAGGCACCATGTGGATTTGGGATTGTATGTCTTGTGGAAATGTTAGGCATTAACTTAATATCAACAACAAAAATAGTGAGCTAGATGAGGGATGATGGGTTTCTTCGCCTTCATGTATCCTTTCTATCTTGCTTCCACCTGTCCACTAGTAGTTATCAAGTGATCAGTCATGTCTGGATATAGGAGAATATTCAGTTACCCAAAGTCACCTGGTTACAGACGTAAGTCAGGTTATAACTGTTACGGGCATCATCTTGCTCTTCTTATCTATAGACCAAGACAGAGTTTGTGCATTTGCTGCTTCATCCTTAGTTACCATATCACCTCTCTGTTGTTTCTATTAAAACAATAAATAAATACATGTGGGAAAGCCAGCCTTTTCCCTAAGGTATGTCCATTTTTTTGGGTCCACAGTTGGTAAACATTTTCTCAAATCATCTCAACTGTAAACTTTGATTGTTCATGAATGAAGGTGAATCTGGTCATGTCTTTGTGACCATTGAAACTAATATGTATATTATATATTTGACTTTTTACACTATTTGATATCTGCCAGTGATATACAAAAGTCCCATAACAATGGGATGACAGTCAAAGCACAGTGAGTCTGTTGCCAAAAGAATCAAGTTAGCCACAAACAATACACGTAATCTACTGACACTTCACTAGCAAAACTAAGCAGAACATCTGATTTATTCTCTTACTCAAGTTAATTACATGGCTGATGGAGTACTATATCCATAGGAAAATTGTTCCAGAGAGGCTAAGACAGTTTAACACCAACAAGTAGTTATTATTTATAGACAGTCCTCCAAATGTATTTTATACTTTGTAATCAAGGCATCTGCTGACTGATCTGGAATATTTATTCAAAGATAGTTCCATAGCAAATAGCCTCAGAAGATACAAACAATATCAGATTCTAGAACATTGTGCACAACGCTAAACATAGAGTCTCCCTCTTGAGCAGAGATTAGGTATGCTTGCTGAAGAAACACTGATATCCTAAACTTGGATTTTTTTTTCTGTGACAGCTCACTGAATGTGTTAACATCACTGGCCTAGTTTATTTTATCACTGCAAGGTAAGTTTAGATGCATAATGCAAATGTTACTATTTTTCTGAGGAAGAAATTACTTTTTATTTCTGATACTGCAGTCTTAGATCTTCTATTGCTATTATGAAACTGAGAGGCTAATCTGTTAGCATCTAACCACAGTGACCCTCACAATTCATAAAATCATATGTTTTATCCTGGAATCTATTATTCCTCTTGTTATTACAGTAAATATTTTAAAACCAGCATTTGAAAAATTAATTGTATTCTGAATCACATTTAAAGACTTCTCATCCAAAGTGTTTTAATGATGATATTGGTAGATGTGGGTGTAGCTGGAGTTTTCCTGTGTCCTGGCCTACCTGCTGTCAGGGCAAACATCTCCCATTAGCGTCCTCCAAGTAAACACACAGACACTTATATTATTTAAACTGTTTGGCCTAATGGCTCAGGCTTCTTGCTATATAGTTCTTATATCTTAAATTAACCTATTTCTATAAATCTATACCTTGCCATGTGGCTCGTGGCTTACCAGTACTTTACATCCTGTTCCCCATGGTGACAGCTGGCAGCATCTCTCTGTCTCAGCCACCTTCCACCCAGCATTCTCCTCTCTCCTTGTCCTGCCTACACTATCCTTCCTGCCTGGCTACTGGCCAATCAGCATTTTATTTATCAATCAATCATTGTAACATATATTCACAGTATACAGGACATCCCACAGCAGTTGGTTGATCTGAAATATGATTGTGTGGAGGAGTAGATGGCCAAGAGGCAGTGGCTTTGGTTTGAGATTGGGCTCTGTATGCATATACATTACCTGTAGATTGCTTCAGAGTAGATGTATTTTATATATATATATATATATATATATATATATATATATATATATATTACATATTTAGAGGGGATTTACTATAGTAGCTTCTTACAGGCTGTGGTCCTCTAGTCCAGCAATGGCTGTATACCAACAGAAAGTCTAAGAATCCAGCTAGTCTTTAGTTTATGCCAGAATCTTGAAGGGGTAGGTTCTAATCTCAGTGAAGGAATGAACTTGCCAGCCAGAATGGGGGCCAGCAGACATCTAACAAAGAGCTTCCTTTGCCCATATTCTTTGTATAGGTATATATAACAGAAGGGATAGTCCAGATTAAATAAAAGTGGACTTCCCACCTCAAAAGGTGCAGATAAAGGTGATCTTTCTATTTCAAAAGATTCAGATTAAATGGAGTTCTTCCTAACTGCAAATAATTTAATTAAGAAAAATTCCTCATAAGTGTACCCAGACACTTGGGTTAAATTATTTCCAGATGTGATCAAGTTTACACCAAGAATAGCCATCATAGTAGGCCTCAGAGACTCCAGGGATTTCTTTTATCATAGACTTGAGAGACCATAATCTTTATTTATAACAGAAGAATTTACTTCTGTCCATATTGCTTCTCTGATTCTTTTCTTCCCAAAGAAGTATCAGCCCCTATTTTTCTTTGAATCTGCAAAACATAGAAAATATAAAATCTTTCTTTGCATTTTTTTTGTATATGTCACAAATTAGGTTTCTGAAAGTGTTCAGTTACCATGGTGATGTTCACTAAATAAATGTAAAGGAACAGAATTCTCTCGCTTTCAATATAAAATTTGCATTCAGAACACATTATGCAATAGATTTATTGGATTTTTTGGCACCAGAAATGCCAGACAATAATGGAGATTTGTCATAGTTTCTTCCTTAGAGAGCAAGAATTAATAGTAAAAATGGTTTGAGATACATAATCAAATATGTATAAATTTAAAAAATATGTTTATGAACTTATGCAATCTAAACTACATAGTAGTAGGGAAGTATATGATGCATAATATCTTGAATGTTTTATTTTCATTCTAATCACATTTTCTTGTCCAAAATACATCTAAGGAAAACATTTGTTTTGGTTGTTCCTTTACATAGCCTTTCTTTTCAGAATATATTTTACCTTTTCTTGGAAAAGATCACTGAAGAGAAACAATATAGTTTTGAAAGTATTTATGAAGTTAGAATGCTAGTAGGGTGTGTCTACGATAGATCGAAATAGCTTAAGACATGAATACTTAAAGATTATAGAGTAGTTTAATTATTTTATTTGGTTTTATATGGAGAATAAAGTGACCTAGCAGTGTGTTATATGGATAATAATAGTAGACAGACTGATATTTATTGTTTAGTACTGGAGTCAAAAAATTAATCATGTTAAAAATTATTTAGAAGTGAAAAAAGTTTGCATAAATTTAGCTATTTTAAAGGTTATAATTAAAGGGTAGTCTGTATTGGAGAAATTATTTTGGCCACTCCACATAGTTAAAAGGATATTTATTTAATGGCGTAACTCACAAATTAAGTAATGGGTAGGTCGCAGGGTCTGGGGAAGGTGTAACGCAGTCCAGCGGTGTTCTCCGGAGCTCTGCACAGTCCACCTTCACCGTTCAGCGTCCCGGCACAGAGAGTGCACAGAGAGAGCGCTGGCCCATCCAGCTCTTGGGTCCCCAGGCACCTCCCCTCACCCCGCCTCGTAGGCGTGACAGTTGCCAGAGTCTCAATGGGGGTTGGAACTTCCAGATCCAAGCTGGAATGGCTTCCCACTACAAGTCTGTTTACAACCCACAGCTCCAGAGAAGCTAGCTAACAAGGAGAATCCTAAGAGGGATGCATGGATAGCCCAGGGAAGAGGAAATAGATGACATATCCATGAGCAAACTGGAGGTGGGGGGGGGCAATGGATGGTGGGGGATGGGGGATGAGAACATAAGGGAATGGGATGGTTGAGCTGGAACAGGGACAGAGTGGGAGAGCAAGGAAAGAGATTCCATAATAGAGGGAGACATCAAGGAAACAGGGAGAAATGGGGTACTAGGGAAGTTCCCAGGAATCCACAAGGATGACCTCAGCTTAGACTACTAGCAATAGTGGAGAGGGTATGTGAACTGACCTGCTCTGGTAGTCAGATTGGTGAATACTCTATCATCATAGAGCCTCCATCTGGTAACTGATGGAAGCAGATGCAGAGACCCACAGCCAATCACCAGGCTGAGCTCCAGGAGTCCAGTCAAAGAGAGAGGAGAGATTCTATGAGCAAGGGGTGTCAAGATCATGATGGGGTAACGTACAGAGAACCAAACCAAACTAGTAGGAACCCATGAACTATGGACCAATAACCGTGGAGCTTCTGTGAAACTGGGCTAGACCCTCTGCATGGGTGAGACAGTTGTTAGCTTGACCTGTTTAAGGCTGCCCTGGCAGTGGGATCAGGATCCATTCCTGGTGCATGAACTGGGTTTTTGGAGCCTAGTACCTATGGTGGGACACCTTACACAGTCTTGGTTCAGAGGGAGGGCCTTGGACCTGCTTCAACTGAATGAACCAGGCTCTGCTGACTCCCCATGGAAGTTCTTGCCTTGGAGAAGGTGGAAACTGGGGGTGGGTTGTGAGGGACAGCTGGGGGTGGGGCGGCGGAGGAGGGAGGAGAGGGGGATCTATGGTTGGTACGTAAAATGAACAGAAAATGTCTTAATAAAAAATGGGTAGTCTGTTTGTAAATGTTGGCTGAAAGGATCTGGGGAAAGTTTGATTAAAGCCTTCATTGTGATTTTGTTAGAATAGTAAATTTCTCATACTAATACTCAAACTTCTCAGTTCTAACACTCATTCATTCTGCTCCCTCACTGCACTGTCATGAAGCAGAGGAATGACCTATTCTGATTGGCTAGTTTGCAAAGGCAAGTTGAACATCTGAAGATTAATATGTGCTATATTTAGTATTTGTAAATATGACACAAACTTAGACACACCTGAGAAGAGGAATCTCAGTTAAGAAATGCTCTTCATCAGGCTGGTCTGTTGGCATGTCCATGGGCTGTTTTCTTGACTGCTGATTGATGTGAGATGGCCATCCCAGGGGTAGCAAGCCAAGAAGCTTGGCCTTTGCTTCAGTTCCTGCCTCCTGGTTCAGTTCCTGCCTTTGGTTCCCTAATGACAGACTGTAATCTGTAAACAAATAGACAAATAGATTCTATAGTAGAGTGCATAATTTTACTTTTTAATCTATGCAGTAAGTGGTGGTTACGTGGAATTAATCCACAGCTGAGCTCAGTAGGTGCCTCTAAACAGTTACTGATGCAATAACTTTTTTTTTGAGGATAATTTCTTTTTGATAAATTAGGTTGGGAAAGGAAGGAAAAATAGAAACATTGGTATTATATAAATAATGCATACAATATAGGCTATCAATTGTTTGGGGTACAAGGGAGCTCAGTAATTAGGCTTTAAATGCATCAGTCTTCTTCTCCACTTAAAAACTGATTCCTGGGAGTGATGGTGCACATCTGAAATCACCATATTTGGGAGACTGAGATAGGAGAATTGTGAGGTCAGGCTGATTGTACAGGGAAACCCTGTCTCAAAAACCAACTAAATAACCAACCAAACCAAAGTAATAATTAACACATGAAGATAATGCTGTATACTATGAAGTCATTCTGTGGAGCATAGATCTCAGCAGAAGATGAGACAGAAGAAAATTAGATGAGATGGAATTAGAAGAGACACAGGAATAGGACCATAAAATATCTATTCACTTATTGCATATTTTATAATACATATATATATATATATATATATATATATATATATATATATATATATATAAAATAAAATGTAGTCTTTATTAGGATTCTATGAGGGGAGCTCAAAAATATTCCTCATTTTATAACTAAAGTTCAGGGTACACTCTTACCATAATCAAACCTAAGATTTGAAGTCAATATGTGGTTATCCCAAATTTTCTCTTTCCAGGTAGGCCTTGGTAGCTTCCTGCTTCAAAGGAGAGCTTTCAGAAATGCTCAGTGCAGGTGGCATATTAGAGAAGCATTGATTTGTAGATTTGTGAATGAGGATTTGAAGACCAACAAGGTGGCCATGGAAAGCTGGACCTCAATGAGAGTTGAGTGATGCTGATGAATGAAGCCAGGACCATGCTCAGGGCACATTTTCAATT